AGACTGAGGCTCAGCAGTCATAGAAAACACATTAAACACAGACTTTACCTTGACTCAGCTTCAGCTGGTTGCCCTTTACTGTGGTCAATGACATGCATCTGAGGAACATCTGGAGCGTACATCTGAACCTCCGCTCCCCCACGACTGAGGTGTACCAGTATGCTAGAAAAGCAGAGATAAAACGTGCTGAAAAAAACTTGTAAGAGAGGCTTATCTATCCCCAAAGTCTTGCCAGAAATATTCCACCAATTGATTTTGGAAGAAGAGGAAAAACACACCTCCTACCAAAGCATACTGAGCACACAGCAGCAAAATCCCTGTAAGTAACACCAAAGTGCAAAGCAGAACAGATGGTCGGTTTGGAGGCAGGGTCAGGTAAGCTACACACAAGTTTCTTTCTTCAGTGCTCTTATGCAGGCAACCAGGGACAACAAAAACTTCCTTTCTCAATGCAAGTTCCCAGGTGCTATGGAGGAGTCCCATGATTAACATACCTACGTGTACATTTAATCTCAGTCTAGGTGAAGCATCTCTTCACAATTAACACTAAGAGTTAATAATTCAGCTTGACTATTAACAATTCTAGTATTAGATTTAGCCCCAGGAAGAGAAATTCAAACTGATTATGAAATGAAGTCTTTACTTAACTCTGTTGACATTGACTCTGCGACTCTAAATTTCTGTTTCTGAAGGAAAGACTCTCAGCCTCACTGCACTGTGCTGCATCTCTGGACAGCCACAGAGTACTGCAAGAATCTGTCACAGCATGCACTGTGCTGAATCTCTGGACAGCCACAGAGTACTGCAAGAACGTGGCCTGAGCTCCCAGTTATGCTGTGAGAAAACTGTGAAGCTTCATCATACAACTTTCAGGGCAATTCTGATGGCCAGAGAGAGCAAACCTGAATTCAACATAATCCTGTAATGTAAAGGAGACTTTTTTGAGCCTAGTTTCATAAAGCAACTTACGCTGAGGCTTCATGGATTTCTGTGCCATCATAGACACCACAACCAGACAGGACCTGCAGTAAGAAAATCAAGACAGTGTTTCAGGTAATACAAAACTTTCTACAGGATCTTTCACAAGCCTTGTGAGATGAAAAAAAACAACCACCCAAACAACAAACCTCCCTCCATCCCCTAAAAAAACCAACTTGGCAACAAGCTCTTTACTAAGCCAGTCGGCATCATGCTATTAGCACCAGTGTTGTCATCTGACATACCGCAGAACTGGCATTTCCTATTTATAGCCACCCATCAGAAATAGCTAATATTTATTTATTGACTTGTGCATTTATTTATGAGTTAATAAACTGACACAATATCCTTAGGTATGTTGTTATTGTACAATGGGTTATTCTGAGTCTCATACCTCTATTTATGAATTGTCAATATCTGTGTGAAATACCTCGTCATCCAGATGTACATCAAACAGAAGAAGCAGGGTAGAAGTGCACTCTGAGGTGGCACTTCAGATAAATGATTTTACCTGCTGCTGCATTTTGTCTGAGGATCTGCATCATAGATCAATAGCTAAAGCACTTTTAACCTTAATCATGCTATATTAGCCACACTTTTCTTTATTACCATGGTAATAATACTTTCAATTTGTTTATACACATTGGAGAATAAAAAGCGTAAAGCGATCAGCTATTCTTGTGTGGGTGGAAAGAGTCTTCTACAAAGTGAAAGAGAGGGGAAAAAATTAAAAACCCAGAAAAAAGGATTATAAGAACAAAACAAAACCAAAAAAATCCAAAGGATTATCTAGTTCCTGAAAGTATATATATGAACTCTTGTGGGGGGTTTTTTGTTTGGCTGTTTGTTTTGAAAGAAAAAATCCAGTTAGAGAGAGTTCATTTATTAACTTTACTCTTTTCCCTCCTGGTTTTATAAGCCTGAAAATTTTTAATCAATTACAGACACATGAACCGAAACTCACAACTGAAACTGTCTTAGTTAGAAACACTGGACTTGAAGGGGCTTTCACAGAATCACAGAATGATAAGGGGCTGGAAGGGACCTCTGGAGATCATCTAGTCCAACCCCTCTGCCAAAGCAGGTCCACCTAGAGCAGGTTGCACAGGAACATGTCCAGGTGGGTTTTGAATGTCTCCAGAGAAGGAGACTCCACCACCTCTCTGGGCAGCCTCTTCCAGGGCTCTGCCACCCTCGAAGTAAAGAAGTTCCTCCTCATATTTAGGTGGAACTTATTATATCCTTCCTCTTGACACCCTCCCTTTAAGTATTTATAGGTGTTGATCAGATCCCCCTCCAGACTAAAAAGACCCAAGTCCCTCAGCGTGTGGTCCTCTGCTGTACGCAGTTCCCTGTCCTTCTTGAACTGGGGAGCCCAGAACTGGACACAGTACTCCAGATGGGGCCTCACCAGTGCAGAGCAGAGGGGGAGGATAACCTCCCTCGACCTGCTGGTCACACTCTTCCTGATGCACCCCAGGATGCCGTTGGCCTTCTTGGCCACAGGGGCACATTGCTGCCTCATGGTCACCCTTCAGATCACAATACCCAGTCCTCTGTTCTCACATGCACGATATCCAACCATCACTTCACCAAATGAGTAAGATCCATGGATGTTCCTTTGTCTGTGTTAGTCCTAACTACGGTTTTACTGCTCTGATATTTAAGACTCAACTTCCACTTTCCAACTTTTTATTTTATTTTCTATTTAATTTAGACTGAATAAACGTACAAGCAACTATGCTAAAGTTACCTTCTGTAAGCAACACTTTTAAAATGTTTTGAAACTCACTGAAACCAAAGTATTAAGACACTGTCCTCTTCTGTTATTTCAGCACCTGCTTGGTGATAAATCTGTCTTCTACCAGAGTCAGAAATTTATGTTGCTAATATCAACAGTAATATTTGTTTTCCACTCTCTATTTAAAAAGCTGTGACTTGGTAAAATAGCATTCCTGCTAAGTTACTTTTTAGACGTTTGGACCAGCATTCTGGCCATTCCCAATGGAATGAGTTCCTCGTGCAGGTAATGCCCTTCTATTTCTTTACATTTTACGCTGTCAAGACTATGCAAAGCTTGAGCTTCAAAGACTGTCTGTCCACCGAGCTCCAAAACTCTGTATCCATTTGGGATGCTTTCTACAGCCTACATTTTCCTTTGGCAACCTGTAGCTCCTTCCACCTCCTTCTTTCCTGGGTGCTTATAACAGGCCGTACCTCCTTCCTGCAGAAGAGCATAACCCAGGTCAAATATTTTCCCCTGCGCTGCCAAGTACCTCCCCCGATTACGCTGCAAACGACTTCAAGTTCAGCTCTTTATAACTCAACCCCAGAGCCAATAACAGCTACACAGAAGCCAATTTTTACGTGCTTCCCGCTCCTGGTGTGGCTTCCTCCCAAGCGACTCATTCCTCAACAGCTTTGTCTTCTCCATTTACAGCCTCTCCCCACCGCCGCCACCACCAGGCCAGCCTTTCCTCGGCCCCACGCCACGCCGAGCCCTCCCACCACCACCAGCAAAGGGGCTGAGGGTGGCTGGGGACAGCCAGGCAGTATAAAAACCCCTTTTTCTCCTCAGAGCTGCTCCCCTACCCCAGGCTCCCCCGCCCTCGGCCCCAGCTCCGAGCCCGAGGCCTCCTCCGGGCGGGGCGCGGCGCGGCCGTTACTCACCACAGCGACGCGGGCGGGGCGGTGGCGCCGAGCGGAGCAGTGGAAGGAGGCGAGGCCGCCGGGGGCCGCCCGCCGCAGCGCGGTGCAGAGGGCCGGCCCGCGGGAGCACAGCATT